AAAGAAAACAAAGAAACAATTTTCATTCAGAGTTATGCGGCATGGAAACAGGCCCTTCGGTCCAACTCTTCCACGCCAACCAGGTTAATCAAACTAAAATTAGTTCCATTCGTCTGTGTTTGGCCCAGATCCCCCTCAACACTCCCTATCCTGTACTTGTCCAAATGTCTTTCAAATGTTGGAACTGTACCTGCATCTACCACTTCCTCTGGCAGTTCATTCCACATTCGAACCACACTGTATGAAAAGGTTACCTCTCAAGTCTCTTAAAACTTCCTCCTTTCACCTTAAAAATACGCACCTTAGCTTTCAGCATGCCTGCCCGAGGGAAAAGACTTTCGCTATTCACCTCATCTATGCCCATCATGATTTTATAAACCTCTACAAAAGGTCACCCCTCAACCTCCTACACTCCAGTGAAAAAATTCCCAGCCTATCCCTATAACTTATAGCCTTTAGTCCCAGTAACATCTTTATTAACCTCTTCTGAACCCTTTCCAATTTAATAATATCCTTCCCATAGCAGGAAAACTAAATCTGTAGACAGTACTCCAAAAGTGGCATCACCAATGTCCTATACAACCACAACAAGACATTCCAACTCCTACATTCAATGGTCTGAGCAATGAAGGCAAGCGTGCTAAACATGTCTTTACCATCCTGTCTCCCTGTGATGCAACTTTCAAAAGAACTACGTACCTGAACCCCTAGTCTGTTTGACAATGCTCCCCAGTGCTCTACCATTAACTGTATAAGTCTTACCCTGTTCATCTTTCCAAAAAAATACACCTCACATTCATCCAAATTATACTCCATCTGCTACAACTCATCCCATTAGCCCAACTGATCAAGATCTTTTTGTAATCTTAGATAACCTTCTTCACCGTCCACTATACCACCAATCTTGGTGCCATGCAAGAACTTGCTAACTGTGCCTTCTATATTCTTATCTAAATTCACTTCTATAAGTGACAAACAGTGGACCCAGCAGTGATCCATGCAGAACACCACTGGTCACAGGTCTCCAGTCCAAAAAACACCATTCTACCACCACCATCTCCTACTGTGAAGCTAATTTTGTATCCAAATGGCAAGCTCTCCCTGAATCCCATGTGATCTATCCTTACCCACCAGTCCACTATGCAGAACCTTGTCAAACACTTTAGTGAAGCCCATGCAGACACCATCCACCGCTCTGCCGTCACCTATCTCCTTGGTCAAGTTATCAAAAAACAACTCAGTCAAGTTTGAGGGGCACAATTTCACATGCACAAAGCCATGCTGACAATCCCAAATCATTCTCTGCCTTGCCAAATGCTTGTAAATTCTATCTCTCTGAATCCCCTCCAACAACTTACCCACTACTGATGTCAGACTCACCGGTCCATAGTTCTCAGGCTTCTACTTACAGCTGTTCTTAAATAAAGGCACAACAGTAGATACCCTCCATTCCTCCAGCACCTCACCTATGGCTGTAAATGATACAAATATCTCTGCTACAGGCCCAGCAATTTCTTCCCTAACTTCCCACAATAACTTCATCAGGTCCCAGAATTTATTCACCTTTGTTTTTTTTTCAGGCCTCTAGCAGCTCCCTCTTCTGTAATGTGGGCTGTTTAAGATATCAATATTTATTTCCGAGTTCCCTAGCCTCCATGTTTTTCTCCACAGTAAATACTGATGTGAAATATTCGTTTAGTATCTCTCCCATAGTTCCACACGGAGATGATCTTTTTGATCGTTAAGGGGCCCTATTATTCTCAAAGTGCTCTTCATACATAGGAAGACATCTCAAATCACTTAATATTGAAAGAGAGTGGAACACTACAGACCATAGCCTGTCTTCATGTTTGGAGAGTTCATGTTTGGAGAGTTCAGTCTGGAGGGCCAAAGGACAGGTTTGCTGCTTTTAAAATTCTTAGCAAACTATCCAGACTGAAATAAACCATGTAGGGAGTTCCCAGGTTCAGCAGCAACATGGTTTAAATCAGCATCCACAGTTCTTTCAGTTTTTATATGGTTTAAATCAGCA